TTAGTTTGTATTCATCTAGTACTTTTTTAGTAATGCCAAAATACCTATCCTAGAAACCCAGGAAAAGCTTTCCTGGATAAGCTTTTTTTTATCTATAATATTATCAATCCCCTGCCGAGGACAGCAGCATATCCTAGTGTAGATTCTCCTCTGTTCTGAGAGAAACGAGACACTCTGGCTGCCCTTCAGACTCACCACCCCTACCCTGGCTCTTTTTTCACACCTTGTCAAAATTCAGTCTCCCTTCCCAACAGGGAAACAGGAGCCTGAACCCTTTCACTGGCAAACACATTATATGAAATATTTACAACAACACAAAAGAAGAAAAAAAACACCCCACCTGTATTTCTCACATCCTACCCTGCACCTGACACATGATGCTCTAAACACACAGAGGACTAACAACAACAAACAGGTCAACCCAAGAGGAAATATTAAATTCTGCCTTTAGTAAAAAGTGCTGTTAAGATTAACAAAAGGATGCTTGACAACATATTTAAATGGTTTCTTAAATAATAGATTTATCATAAAATACGATTAAATTAATTTTATAAATACAGACCCTAAAAGCTAAATAATAGCATGCTCTATATTTCCCAAAACCTGTAATAATGTATGTTTAGAATAATTATAATTAAATATTCAAGCTTTAACTGCTTGATTTAATGTAAACTTGAATAGTTTGAATTTAGTCATGGCCTGCTATGTGATGCTGCTGGAGCACTGTTGGATATTTCTGTGTGGAGAAAGACAAGATATGAGGTTAAATGATGACATGTTGCCCTGTGAACTGTGACTGGTGACCTTTACAGGCTGTATTCTGCCTTTTACCAATAAACCTCTGGAAATAGGCACTGCCTCCCTATGTCTCTAATGAACAACCAGTAGAAGATGAAGGGATTTAGTCATCTTGATTTGTTATCACCCCATTTTGTCCAAAGCCCTGCCATCCCTCTGATTAGAACTTTGGATCTAAATTAAACATCTTTATATGTGTGCATCAAATATGATTATACTGTTTATATAATATGTCTTACAAATTCTTCAAAAGCCAAATAGAATTAGGTTTTCAGTTAAATCTAACCATTCAAATGCAAAGCAATAGGGTGCATACACATGCATGTATAAACACCTGAAACAATACAATAAAAGCTTAGAAAACAAACAAACAAAAAAACTTAATTCTGTTTTAATCTTCACCCAGTCACTACAGTGCAACTTCAAAATTAAACCAAACAGTGATTTAAAAAAACAAAAACATAACAACTCAGAAATCATCAACTGCAGGTTCTTAAAAGGATTACAATTTCACTTCCTGAGTTAAGCCTGCTATCAAAGCAGGTCCCACTGGAAGTAGTTGTTGTTCATCATCTATTAAAGGTTAAAGGTAAGTACAGATCGAGCTTCTGGTTACATGAGCACAAAACCTGCATTAAATCCTAGTAAGATGAAGATGAACCCAATATCCTCTTCAAATAATTCTGGAATTTGGTAAGAAATTTGGCCACATAATTAATGCATGTCTGGAAATTTGGATTATACAAATATAAAATTTAATATACTCAAAACGTTCTTTCAAACGTTTTGAACATGGCACTTAAGAGGAATATTTAACACATTATTTATTTAATGTATTTAAAGTATGTCTATTGAACATTAGTGGCTAATGGTAAAGTTATTATCAGGTTCCTGATTATTTTATTTTTATTTTTTTTGTTTTATGTTTTAAATATTGACTGTATTTTATCATGGCCTCATAACCAGAATCTAAAGAAACTTAGATATTTTTATTCCAGAACTGCTTTATATGGAATACAGTTTTTGAAAGACAATTTTAAATTTATAAAAAGCTGCTTGGCTTAAAGAACCTTAAATCAATAACAGCAGGACCCCTTAAAAGGCATCGGTCCCCACATTGCAGGGTCCGCCACATTGTGGGGAGTGATACCTGGACCCCACAACGGAAACTCCAGTTTTGGGGTCAGGGGTCACGTTTAGGACTAAGGTGTAAATTGAGTTTATGTTGGGGTTAAGGTTAGGTATGAACCCGTAATGTCACGGTTAGTCTGTAGAAATAAATGGAAGATAATGGAATGGCCCGGCAAAGAAAGTCAGACAAGTTTGTGTGTTTATTTCCATAAGTTATACGTTTGAAATACTCTGCATCAGACATGAAAGGAGAGATTCTACACAAGGGGCTCATGTAGGGCATCATTAAAGGAAGAATCGCCCATAATCAACAACCACTGAACAGCTATCCCAATAATGGTGATAACCATAAATAAAATAAAAAAACAGAATAACATTGAAAGGAAAAAGAAGACAGTTTAGTTTGCAAATGAAACGAAGTAAATCAATGAAATAAAAAAAGTTTAAGTTAACTAAATGTGTCTGCTCCTACTGTCATGTGGGAATCTCACCATTTATAAACCACTTCTGACCTTTCTCCTCTTTTAAGAGAGAGAAGTCAGGTAATAAATAGCAGTTACTCTTTAAGGCTCCTCCTTACAGTAAGGCTCTTATGAGGGCATGGATAGGAGCTAAAAGGCATCAAAAGACTAAGTTCAGCACCAAGGACAGGTTTGGAAGAAGCCAAGTGACATCCGCTTCTCTAGTGGTGCCCAAATCTAGTTCTCAAGCTATCCTGAAATAGGCTGGTTTGAAAGATCTATCTAAATGCTGAAGGATAGCAGCTCTCAATCACTGTTGGATTTTGTTGTTGTCTTGGTATAGCAAAGACACCATATAGAGAAGCAGGTTGCAAGCGTGTGCCGGGGTGGTTATGTCCCTCAAAAAAGATGTGTTAAAAAGAATCTCAGAATCCTCATTGTACTATTCACTTTACTAAGTCAACACTGCATCCAACATCACAGTCTGGCCACCCTGTACTACTTCCTAACAGGTAACAATGCTTTGCCTAATGTATAAACTTTGCTCTTATCATTCCAAACAGGAACTGTATGACTTTGTGCAGGCCTGGATGTTTTGTGAGGTGCAGAAGGTTTGGGGTTCAAAAAAAGCAAAAAATGTATGTAGTGCTGCTTCTTAATTAATGTTCTCCCTTTGTGCAATCCCCCAGCTAAACAGCTCCATATCATGACCCTACCACCACCCTGCTTGATGGTTGTCAAGTATAATTATCCCCCCTGGACTCCTTGAAATTTTCGTTTTGGTACTGGGGCCAAATTGTTTCTTGATTGTCAGCTCCAAAATAATATTGATGAATTGATAAATCTAGTAGTCTTTATTCCCTTGGAAACCACATCTCTTAACTATACATTCCCAAATCTTTCATTGGAGAAACAAACCTCAGTTGTTTAGTATGAGGACCATCATTTTTATAAAATATGTCACAACTGTGAAAAGTTAGTCATATGTTTCCTGTTTTAAAAGCATCTGGCCCTCACAGGGCACATCATTTAGCAGTGAGGGACATGCATGTTAAGTCAGGCCTTTTTTTTTTTTGGAAGATTGGGATGTTTCGGAAGATGGCGGCAGCTGCATATCTACCTGCTACTTTGGGGTTAAGTTAACTGCAAAACAGCCCACACCATGGCATTACCACCTACATGGTTTACAGTTGGTCTGGTCCTCTTAAGCAGCACAGACTTCTCCTAACTTACTTCTTGTCATTCAGGTTATTTGGCCGAACGTTTATCTTCTAAAAAAGAAAGTGGATTCAGCACCATAAAGACCCCCAAAAACAAAACATCTAAAAATGCACTGTTGCAAACAAGCTTTGCTTAATGTCTTTGGGGACGACTAGATGTTTTGGGACATGACAATAGCTCCAGGGTTTGAGGGCGATGCAACAGCCAAATGCACCAAACAGCACAACAACCCCCATGAAACATATCCTCCTTGTCATCATCGCACTGGAAAAACAATCTAGAAATAAGTAAAAATGTCTTAAATTAAGTGTATTTACCCTTAATTTAAGTAGGTAAATGATATAGTTTGCCAATTGTTTACTCAATTAAATATTATGCACTTAAAATAAGACGATGCATTTGTGTTTTCTTATTTTAAGTGTAAATTGTCTTGTTCCACTGGCAGGATGTCTCCTCAATCCAACAAATACAATTATATTAAGAAAAAGATTCTTATCTAGATTTTGATTTTTTTCCAGTGCACCACCATCATCATCATGGTGTTTGGTATCCCCATCACAGGTGGAGATGCCAAACACATCAGATACTTCTGTCAGCTGGGGGGCCAGATGTGTTTCAGCCAGAGAGCGGATCTGATGAATGATTAAAAGAAGCCCATCACCTAATCCCACATAGAAAGTGGGATGTTCCTCCTTTGATGGTTTGTCAGAGGGAAAACAATGACGCTAGAGATGGCTCCTGGCTTTGCTGTGACAACCAATTACATAACGGCAGAGCTGAACAGAGTGCTCTCATTAACGTCCATTTCCATCAAGAAATCCTCAAATACGCATCTAAGCAGCGCGTCTGCACACATTAAACCATATTTTATCATTAAAGCTGGGTAGAGCTTGTTTATCTGGATGAAATGTGAAAATAAAGCCTGTAATACATCACCATCAGCTACATCAAATTCATTCTAAGCTGCGTTTTTCCCCCTGCTCCTTTAAAAAGGTCATCATTTGCAGGTAAGTATTGTAAACAGACCGCAATGGGGAGTAAATTTACTGAAATCAGGACATTATGAGGAGCAAACACTGTCAATAAAGCGTGCAGCAACATTAATTAAATAATAATATAAACCATCTTCCCCCATGGCGCATGCAAACAACGGTACATCATGTAACATGACGCATGAATAATCCCAAACTGCAAAAATAAAAAAAAAACGCAAACAGAATCGCCTCTGAATTGGTTGCTCTCCGTCAGGTTTTGCTGCATTGGAGGCAGCGGTGAAACATTAACCAACATGATGGAGAGGGATGCAGATTTCTCCGTTTCTCCCTGAAAGGATGCTCAGCATCTCCTCCATATGATGCATGGATCAGTTCTGCGGAAAAAAACACTTACCTGAGACTACTGCTTCCACTGCAACCCAACAGTATCTGCTGCCAATCAGAGCGTATTTCCCCCCTTTTTGCAGCACGACAGAAGGTGACCCTGCGCTTCTCTGCAAGTCTCTGCATCCACGAGATCACGATGCACGCAGCAAGGGGGAGCTCCACAGCACAGGCACGCGCCGGGGGGATGGCCCAGCTTATACTCTCAATGGATGGCAGCGGAAATATAACGCAAGGGAAATAAGCCAACCTAATATAAATGAAGGGAATTGTGCAAAATATGGTTGTTAATATTTTTGTTATTATCATGCATTCATTCTAGGATTTGTTTATTGCAATTTGTGATTAATTTCCTCTTTTATTCACATAACTCATAGTCTGAATATTGAATAATGTATAAAAATGGTGGATAAGAGCATTAAATTGGCTTTCACTTTCCAACCAATGGAATGAGCATCTTGAGAGGTGGTGTCCCCCCACCCCCCATGTAATCCACGCCTACATCTCACTATAGTCAAAGGAGGAGGGAAGGTGGAAGGAGAGGATTACTATCTGACTCATCCACTCCAGAACAAAAGAACATTTTTACCCACCTGTTGATTCTTTGATTTGCTCATTTACAGTTCTCTACAAGTTTATTTTGAAATACTTTCAATGCAGCCAAGAAGGATGGAGCTTCTTGGGAAGGATACAAATTTCCTTCTACTAATCTCACAGATTAAAACTGGGCTCCCTGATAAAGTTTTAGACCTAGAAGGCTCCTGGGCAGGGGCGGAGCTACATGGGGGGCCAGGGGTGGCCCTTAGCCAGTCATTGGCCACCCCTACCATTTTTTCCCTCTAATACAGATGGTGGCAACAGTCAGAACTACATTTAGATTTATATGAGGTAAAGAGAAAATGATGCTCCCTGCAAGTCATTTAGGAGCATTCAGTGAATCATAGATCATTTTTAAAAAATAAAAACCTATTAAATAATCCATTTATGTAGATATTAGTACTTGTAAATATAATTGTTTGGCAGAAGGATTATAGATAAAAGTAAGCAATGACGATGGAACAGATGTTCGCCACAAAACTCTAACCTGAAAGAGTTGTATCCACTATACCTTTTATCTAGAAAGCACGGATGTTTAAATATATTTGTTTATTTGTTAGCAAAGGCTGTAGGAAAGTATAGTTTGTTTTTATTTAGAAAATATGGATGTTTTGCTTATTAATTTTGCTGTTGGAACAGTGTCAATTGACTGTGAGGTTCTGGCGCTTATCCACTTTCGGCCCCCCCTTAGTGTACATTGGTTATTGCCTAGCCACCCTTATAAAAGTTTTCTGGCTATGCCTGTGCTCCTGGGAGACTTGCACAATCGAAGGGTTAAAAGCAGTATACCACTTTTGATGCAATGACAAATATGACAATAAAAGGTTAGTGTATTTCATTGGGATTTTAATGTGACTGATCAACACAAAATTTGTGTAGAACAGTGAAGTGACAGGATAACGATGTAATGTTTTTAAAATATTTCCCTCATAGAAGCTGAATGAATCATTATCATGATTCCACATTTCACTTTAAAGCAGCTACAAGGCTTTGTTTCTTTACCATTTTTATTCATTTCTAATGTCTGACTTTTGTCCCTTTTCAACACAGCTTAATCGAAGTCAGTTGGGATGGATCATCTGTCAACATCTGTCTTCAATTCTCATCATAAGACCCCTTCAACACATTAATGTGCTGTGATCTAATCTAATTTCTTTGTCACTTCTTGGTCAAGTAGCTTGTAGAAAACAATATAGATTGGGATATTTTCTCCAACATATTTAAGACCTTAGTGCTCTTCCATAGGCTACAGCTTGTGATACTAAAGAACCAGGTTGTTAGCAGAACAGGAGCACCACCATGGACTGTTCTTTCACTATTCCTTTTGTGCTTTGTATATTTTTGAATTTCTGTAGAAAACAGAATCCTTTATCTGCGCAAAAGGCTTGGATGACTGTTGTTGAGAGGTGATTCAGAGATGGAAAAGAAGCTACATAAAGAGAGCTGTTGAACCGCTTTGTCTTATGGTGTTGTAACAATCATCTCTTGCTGATGATTGTTGTAGGGTCTAGGAGAAACAGAAATAGGTTGAATGTTTTTATCATTGTGGGAGAATAACTTTTTTTTCCCTCCAGCTTTTATTGTCATTACATTGTTACAAGTACAGAGCAATGAAATGAACTCTATGCATTTAACCCATCCCCTTGGGGGGCAGTGGGCTGCCATTGTGCGTCGCCCGCAGAGCAGTGTGGGGTTAAGGGTCTTTTTGCAGTCTGTGGGAGTGAGGCTCAAACTCAGGATTCCAAGCTTTATGCCCTAACCACTAGGCTGCCACTCCCCATAAGGAGAATTTAGAGAAGCCAAATAACCTAACAGTCATGTTTTTGGACTGTGGGAGGAAGCCAGAGTACCTGGAGAGAACCCATGCATGTACAGGGAGAACATGCAAACTCCATGCAGAAAGACCCCGGGCAGGGAACCGAACCTAGAACCTAGAACCTTCTTGCTGCAAGGTGCAGCAGGGCTGGAAAACAAACTGGGCCAGAAAAGCAACTGTGAAGGTGGCTAAAAAAAGGGGAAGGGCAGGCTGTACTTCTTAATGCAGCTTCATTCAGAGGCTGCTGTAAGACAGACCGCTACAGAAGATTCCTGCTGTCTACAGCTATTAAGATCCACTTTAACCAACTGAAGAAAACTCTATAATAAAAGGTATAGCATTTTTTTTACCCTTGGGATGAATAAAGTATTATTTAATTGAATAAAATGTGTGGAGTTTGTGACAAGCATTAGTTGAAAGATTCTGTCACCTGAGCTGTTGATCTAAGCCTCCCAGATATAACGCAAGCTTTGTAGCTGCTTCCCTGAACAATTTTCTCCTTACTTGTCAGTTTAGGTGTATTACCCTGTGTTAGTAAGTCTGGACTATTTGAGTTGTTTAACACTTGGGACTTTATGACCCAACTCTACATAAACATTTCTGCCTAAGTCCTCTAAAAGTTTTCACAGAAAAAGTTAGGAACCTATAAGAAGATTAAATCACACACACGTAGACTTGATTTACTTAATAGCTTATTCACGTATCATTATTAATCCTTCTCCTTTTATATTTTGGTCCAGCAGAGTAAGCATAAGCTGAACTTTTTCAGATTTTGATTTGTAAATTAAAATAAAAAACAATTACGTTTTTTGGTTTATCGGGTTTAAGGTGTATAAAAAGTTTTATGAGGTATTCTTGTGTTTTTTTTTTTCTTCTGTAAAATATTACAACAGTTTACCACACTCTCACGATTAGATGTGTTATTTCATTATTAACTTTTATAGGGACAGCTGTTAAGATCTTAATGAGTAGGAAACAAACTATATGTTTGAACTTGTTTTTTTTTCAGAAATTAGGAAAATCATTTTATAAAATATCAAGAGGCAAATATACTCATTTCATTGTTGAATCAGAGGCGCAGCTTCTACTTAGACCAATCACCCTGTCAAAGCCACTAAGCATCAAACATGATAAAGAAGGGGATGTCTTGTTCTGCAGCTTGGAGGCCATTGCAGATCTTCAACTAGATCAGTCCGACGCTATTTGCTTTGTTATTTAGACGAATATATATTAAGCAAATTTTCTTCTACCTGAAGAAATCATTTATTTCAGTTTTTTGTCTGATAAACACACACTCTTTTGAATGCCTTTTCTCAACCCTTTTCTAAACTAAGGCAAAATATTTAGTATCTGTTATTTACTCAATGCTTAAAAACATCCTGCTACAACATATGATCCATGACTTTATTATCATTTGAAAACCACAACAAAGCAAAAGTATAAAAAGGTTTTTATACTTTTCCTAAAGCAGATATCAGAGGGACATCTAGTGGCAAATTACTAACAGTGCAAGAATTATATTGCACCGCCTAAAATAATAAGTTTCACAAACCAATTTTAGCAGCTGAATCCCAATTTTTATATTTGGAGAGAGCTACAGACATTCAAATTGTTAGACTTTAAAAACAAATAGCAAATTGAATTTAAATTACTTTGTAACCTTTAAAGTTAATGTTGTTGTCCCACTATCATTGTTTACCAGCTGGATTAAATAGCAAACAAGGTTAAGAAAAGTTTCTATGGGCAGAAGCTTGCATATGAGATTCAAAAATCTGATCCCAAATAGAAAACTAAAAGCAGCAAAAGTTGAACATAAAAAGAAATGATATGTAAATTAGCAAACAGCTTACAGGGAAATTAAATGACATGGCTAATCCTAAATGGCAGAAATGAAAAAATATGGTAAGGACAAAATAACAGACTAAACATTAGAGAATAACTGGAAAACAAGAAGACAAATTGGTAACCATAACCAAAGACCCAAAGTTGATAACAAATATCTAACTTTTTAATTTCTATTTGAGCAGGAAATGCATTTAACCCATAAAGGGCCATTTTATTTTCTCCGTCCTTTAAGCCCAGTTATCTAAAGAAACTTGTTTTACATGGACAAAATGTATTTGGTCAACAACTAGTATTTGCAGTTCTTGAAAACACACCATAGATTAATTAAGTGAATGAGAGAGATATCCATCAATCAGAGTATCAGGTCTTTGTTGAAAATATTCTTGCTGTGTGGACAAAACTTTCAGGTACTTTTTTTTTTTTTTTTTTTATGTTTGGTTGGGTCTTTGATTTCCAGTTCACATTTCTCATTTCTAACAAATGGGACGATGAGATCTTGTAGAAGTTGAAGAAGGCTGGACAGAAAATAACTTAAAAAGCAGCCAAAATAGCCAGGACAAGAACCATCCAGACTATAAAAGAATGCAGAAAGTCTACATTCTTCAGAGTTAAGTTTTTTTCCTTTTTCTCAATTTGTTCCTACGACATTATTTTCCAGATAGGAGCTCAAGCTACATTTAAGGTAAAAGAGAAAAAAAGGGGATCATGATGATAAAAATTGTCATGTTGTATTTTTTCCTGGGTAAACCACTAAAGAGATATTTTGATGGTGGTAGAAAAACACATGGATTCAGAGGTTCCTTTTCTCTGTTTCAAATAGCTGGGCTTGAAACGGTGAACAATTGAGATACAGCAGAGAGAATAACACATCGAATTTAAAAAACACTCAAAAAATATTTTTAAGAAATATGGGTATTGCAATGGGGATTTAAGTTTTCAGAAAAAAATTAAAAAGGACATAGAATTAAAATCATATAACCAAGAATTAGAGCAAGTAAAGTGCATAACATTTTTTGGACTATGGTTTGATGAGAAACTAAAATGGAATATCCATATTAAAAAAATTGTTGATAATGTAAGAAAGTCTTCAATATTTTGAGATGCTTGGTTGGCAGTGACTAGGGAGCATATAGACAATCACTAAAACAGATTCATACAGGTATGATACAATCTAACATAGACCTTGGTTGTATAGTTTACAGTTAGGCAGCTAAAACACATCTGGCTAAATTGGACATTATCCAACACCAGGCATTAATATGATGTACTGGATAATTTAAAACCACATCAACAGCAGCAATGCAAGTAGAAATGGGAGAAATGCCGTTGGATTTAAGAAAAAAACTAGAAATAAATTAATGGTTAAATCTACAAAGTAGTAACTTTGATCATCCAACTCGGGAAATTTTGAATCCATGTTGGAAAAAGAAAAGAAAGAAATGAGGAGTTTTGGATGGACAATTGAAAACAAAATAAAATAATTTAAAATGACCAATTAAGAAATCACTCAGACACCAATATCAGATATACCACCATGGATTCTACCAGAAGCAATAGTAGATACGTCACTAATGGAAAAGAAACAAGATAAATCGTACACGGTAGATATTAATTTAGTACAGTTACATTTAGGCAGTTATTATCAATATATTCTAATTTATACAGATGCATCAAAAATAACAAGCAAAATAGGAATAGCTTTTGTAATACCAGAATTCAATAAAAAAGTAGGAAAACGAATTTCAGATAGATTATCAGTATACACAGGGGAAGTGTTGGCAATATTATTAGCTTTACAAAGGGTAGAAGAAATAAAACCATTAAATACAGTGATTTGGTCTGATTCAAGCTCTGCATTATTAAGTTTAAAATATAATCAATCAGATAGTAGGATGGACATATTATTAGAAATATTTCATACATTATTCAGAATGAAAAATATGGGTTTGATAGTTGTATTTGTGTGGGTTCCAGCACATATTGGAGTAGAAGGAAAGGAGAGGGCAGATAAAATGGCAAAGAGGGCAATTCAAAATCCTATTAGTTTTACAGTTAAAACAAGTAAATCTGATGAAAAAAAAGAGTATTATCAAAGAAAAACTGATGGAAAAAATGGAAAGAAAAGGTGGCATGAAGAAAAAACAGGAAGATGGTTTTATAAAATTCAGAAGAAAGAAGAAATGGAAGACAAAATAGAAAGGAGGAGAGAGTGATAACAAGGTTAATATTTGGGTATAGAGGACTTAATTATACACTTCAAAATTCAGAAGCATGCTACTGGAAAATGTGATTACTGTGGACAATATGAAACAATAGAACATGTTATACTGGAATGTAATAAATATGAAATCGAGATATAATATAGACGAGGAGTGAATTTGAATGTATTCAGGAAAAGATTAATTTATTAGATATTTTAAGGAAGAATTTGGGGAGTAAACATATACAAATAATTATTCAAATAAAAAAAAAAAAACTAAGTTATTTCATAGAATTCGATTATAGAGAGGGTGAATGTGTCTATGATATAGAAGGGTAGAATACAAAGTTATGTAGGAGTATGTAGTTTTGTTTTTTTCCCCCTAAGAAATTATGTATATGTTTATTAAGTAGATATTCCATCACGAACCACACTCCATACCAGTAAGTGGCGGTAGTGCTACTAAATGTTTTTTTTTTTTTTTTTGCCAACCGCTAATAAATCCAAGAAGTAGAAGTTGCTTTTCCTCTTATTCTGAAGGGTTATAACCGGAAGTTGTTACACCATTGTTGCTAGAGGAGACAGATCGTCTGAAGCAGGGGGAAACTAGACTAAAGGAAGGCATTTTATACCACAGAGTGAGTACGTAACACACATAATAAAAAAAAAAAAAATACGAAGGCAGACGGTGTTTTTTGTCTTATTGGCCGAGAAAGTTATGTTTAATATGTTTTTGCGCAATGCTGCAGCGACCTCACTATCAAGTTGCAGCAGCTAAACCGAAATGATACGCACCATTGAAGCCACTTCTACTGCAACTGGCAAGTGAAGCGTAAATTTTATACTTTAACAGTAAATAAGGGATATAATGATTTTATTGGTTTCACTGTTTTACCGGTGCTAATCGCGGAAAATCACTAAGATGCGACTTGCTAACATTGGCCTGTTTGAATCTTTCGCCGTTAAATGAAATCTGCCCTTTAGTCACAGAAGCAAATTAGTTCTCTAACTACTCATTCTGCCTCTTTATATTTATATCATATATTTTTTTATTCATTTATAATTTATATATATATATATATTTATATTTGTTATATAAAAAATAAAATATAGTTTTCATGAGACCCTGGTAACTGTGCAGACTGTTTCCATTTTGTGTTCCCTGGTTGATTAGGGAGGGCAGTGATACCATGTGGAAGTCACATGAACGACGAGGATGAGGCATAAACAAGAGGGCAGCCTGACGACTGAGCCGCTGCAACACAGTGACAGCCAACAGGAGGAGGGGGGGCTGGTGCCTGTGCAAAGCTCCCACACACAAATAGCCCTCCTTTGGCTCCCTTTTTTTTAAAATCCTTGAACTATCATTAGGATGAACAGCACTACAACTCAGCCCCCTGCCCACAAAGATGGAGATGTGGCGGTGAGCTATGTGCTGGTACCAATCCTCCTTATAACTATTGCTGGAATAGCTACAGCTTTGGTAAGTAGTTGAGTCTGATACTCTTTTAGTAGAGGTTGAGATAGATGTAACTCAAATACACTTTTTTTGTGTTGTAGATTATATATCTGCGTAGGAAAAGAAGGTGAGACAAACCAAACGGTGTTAATTAACTTGAACTTGCTTTATTTACTCTCACTTCCTCATTGTGACCTAACGGTCTTTATCTTCTGCTATAGAATCGACAGACTCCGGCATCAACTGTTACCAGTTTACACCTACGATCCTGCAGAGGAGCTTCATGAGGCCGAACAGGAGCTTTTGTGGAGAGAGGAGGACACGAGGGTAGGAGGGGCCAACTCTGTGTGTGATAGGGTATTCTTCAAGTTGGAAACATGTTCAGCCTGAGATCTGATGAGGAGTATTATGGATTAGAGATGCATTTATTTCTTTAAATCTAGAGTAAAAACAGCAGCTTTTGACATAATACAAAAAATACTGCCTGTTATTAGTTTCAACACTGGGCTTTAGACTTCAGTAGTTCCTCTTATTGTATGACTCTTCTCTTTTGACAGATTAAACTCTAGATTAAATGAGTAACCAAGCAGTTTTAGGTAGTAATGTACCATAGATTGTTTTTCAAGCTCTAACTCAAATCTCTCTTGATCCCTGGCCATTAATAACCTCTGGCTTGTGTTTGAGTCAGTCGGTTTTATCATCCATGGGCATGTTGGTTCCGCAGTCTAAAAAGTATGGGCTTAACAGTATGTCTCAAACAGTATGATGCTCAAATTTTTGTAAATATCCTACTACAATTTGGCATTGCACAATGTCAGAAAGTGTGGAGCTTTTATGAGTGGAATTGGTTTTCCCCTAAAAAACCCCCAAAACATTAACAAAATATGAATGCCTAGATTACTGGCAACAACAGTAAGTGTACCCCTAAGCATTATCATGTTGGAGTATCACTCTTCCACCCAGTTTCCCCAGGTAAGGGCTCATGCTCTGCTTCATTGTGTCACACCTGTGTTTTGGCATTCATGATTTTCTCCATAAATCCTAGCCCTTCACAGCTTCTCGCACTTAGGCAGCCCTAAATCATGGCACATTCACCACCATGCTTGACTGAACAGTTGAAGGATATCTACAGAAGAAGGCTCCAAGAAGGAGCTTCCTTAACCGTATTGAGCAGGCCATGTAAAAAAGCGCCCACTTCCCCCGATCTGTGAGGGCTGATGAAGCAGACAGCAGTGACTGTGCCTTTAAAGTTAAGAAGAAGTGCCTCTTTTAGTATCTTATCTGCACAGGATAGTAACCTCTCTTGTTTTAGCTAAATTGAAATCGTCAAACTCTGTTTTGTTTGGCCCTGAGAGGCTCTTTGGAAGTGAATCTGGACTTTGTTCAGCCTTTAGAAGTGATGCAATAGGGCAATATTAGGAAATGGGCAGCAGTTAGATGGGAGAAGTGGCTTTGCTTTGAAGGCAAGTTTTTTTTTTTTTTTTTTTTTTTTTTTGAAGAAAATGGCTACCCTTCATAACATATTAATACCCAACTTGTTTTAAGGCATTATTTCCTCATATTTGCCTAAAAGTGACCTTGAAAGGCATAAAAAAAGCATGATAAAGTATATTTAATGCATATCCTAGATCCCTGCCTTTTCCTTCTTGAAAAGATACTTCCTGCTGGAATGACAGCTTTGCAGTTGATGCAGTGTATTGTGTAGAGATCAACGATACAATTTTTTTCAAGGTCAATGCAATTATTTTGACACCAGTCTAACCGATACCCATTAAGTGCTGCTGATATTTTTGGGCCATTTCTTGTAGCTGATATGGCTTTTTCTTCCTCCATTTACGTGATAAAAGTGACATGGGGGAGAGGTGGTCTAGTTGTTAGGGCATTGTGTTTGGAATCTAGAAGTTCTGAGTACGAGCCCCATTCCCACAGACTGCCACTCCCCGGGCACCCCACAATGGCAGTCCACTGCTCCCCAAGAAGATGGCTTCAATGCAGAGAGTTAATTTCATTGCTCTGTACTTGTGACCATGTATGACAATAAAAACTGAAAGAAAAAAAAATCAGAATTGCAAATGTTACACAGGTCCAAGTATAAACAAAAGAACCCTCTAACATCTACAAAACATTAACAATGTACAGCAAATGAAGGTGACAATTAATGCACGCCACATGAACTCAGGAATGGCTGTTGAATGATTTTATGAATCGGCCAATGTTAACATGTGTAGACTGTTATGGATACAAGAAAAAAATGCTAATATCAGGAGAGACGGCATGCAGAAATCATGAAAGTGGCATTTGCCCCGGCACAGGAGCGGGTGCAAGCATCCTAATCATATTCATGACCTTCATGTACCATATATTCCGGACTATAAGCTACTACCATTTTCCTACGCTAAAAACCATGCAGGTTATGCAACATTGCGGAGAGTACCCTAGATGTTACATAGGCTGCAGAATCAGGACCTTTTTATAGTTTACAATTTTAACAAGTGCAATCACTGAGGCGCATAGAAGACTAAAAGATGAATAACACAAATGGTAAAAGACATGATGAATACATAAAGCAGATAATTGACATATAACCCACATGGTTATTTCACTGTTTATGGTCATTTATAGCCTATTTGCATTTGGTGTATGGCTTTGTCCATTAAGACTTTGGCATAAAAACTTTTATTCTTTCTGACCTTTCTTTTATTGTACCGAAGCGCCTGCCAGAGGGCAGTTTAAGGAATTACCAGGGTGGGATGACTCCTTGAGTGGGTTAAGTGTGTTTTCCTAAAACAGCAGTAACAGTGCAGATCCTCTAGAGACAGCAGAGGGTAGATTATTGATCTTTCCAGCTGTTGCGTTGAACCTGGAACGTTTTGTTATTTAGCCATGCAGCTGGTAAACTACCAGATTTGAAATAAATGAATAAAATAACTGAACCATAACTGAAGTCTCTTATTTGTGCAACTAATGGGCGTCCTCATTTCGTCATATTTAGCATCCACGCAGCTCAGGTTTGCTTGAAGGCAGGGGTCTCAAACGCATTCCATAAAAGCTGCTGTGGCTGCAGCTTTTTCATTCCAAGGCAAAGAAAAACAGATCACTCGTTTCATTGAGTCTAGTCTTAACTTGAACACTTGATGAGCTGAATGGAGTCTGTTGTGCTACTGTTTGCTTGGAATGAAAACTTACAGTCACATGGCTCCTTGCAGAAGCAGTTTTAGACCCCTACTTTAAATGGTCTTAACCAACAGTTTAGATGAATTTCCAAAAAGTTGAATGTGTTTAATAGATTTTAAATGCTTTTAATCCATTTTATTTATTGTACTTTGAACATTGTCAAAAATATGTTTGTTTTTTTTTGGTCACTTAAAGTCACTTAGGACCGACATCAACAATTCCAGAATGAACTAATACATGACGTGAAAGGGCACCTGTTTTATCTGTGAATAAAGGTAAATAAAATAGAAATTGTTAAATATTTATGATGCACTTTTTAACCCTCGAAGCTGTAGATAATTGTATTCTCTCACAAGTGGGGAAATCTTTTCCACTCCTACACTAAATACCCACTTTAAACCCATATATTAAATTCTATATATAATATTCTTTGGGGCACTTCTGACTTTGAGCTACGTTATACGTGTGCGTATGGTTGCACGCGTGTCTGAAGTAATTGGGTCAGCTGCAACTGCCAATATGCACCAATGAAGCTGCTGTTAGAGGCTGAAATTGTTTCATTGTCAGCCTCGGGTAAAAGCTCGTTAAACAAAACATGCATTCAACTCAGCTATGAGCGTGCATGGAGGTGAACTGGCTTAGTGTGCATGTGTGCCAGCATGTGCCCATGCTGGTGTCTGTGGTGAGAAATCTGGGAAGCCTTGGCACCATCTCCGTGGCAGTGGTAGGTGATACAAATCAGTGGAAGGCCGTCTTTGGTGCAGTGGCAGTGCACCTGCAACAATTTGCTCCTGTGCCTGCTGAATATCAGCCAAAAATATCAGCCAGCGGATGTATTGATCGATCTCTGGCAACGCGCATGGTCTAAGCACTAACAGGCAGACCCCTTAAACCCTTCAGCCTTAGCTTCATTGCTTACTGCACTTTAACCTCTTCAATGGAGAACTTCTTGATATCACACCAAGTGAATGAATTAAACTTCTTAGGTCAACCATAGCAAGGCCTTAACCATTTTTATATATAGTGAGGGAAATCAGTATTTGAACATACTTCTGTTTTGCATGTTCTCCCGCTTAGAAATCATGGAGGGGTCTGAAATAATCATTGTAGGGGCATGTTGACTGAGAGCCATAATCTTTTTTGAGTTTTTACAGCAATAGTGGCTTGTTTTTCTGACAGTAGGGTGACAGGAAAGCGGGTATGAGAGAGGGGGAGAGACATGCGGCAAAGGACCACTGGTCGGATTTGAACCCGAGTCGGCCGCGTCGAGGAGTAAGGCCTCCGTACATGGGTCTATTTATTTGTATGTTATAGCTGCAAGTAATTATTTGAACACCTGTCTATCAGCTAGATCTATCGGCCTTCAAAATGTCCACCTCTACTCCATTTATTATCCTAGATTAGATGCACCTGTTTGAGGTCGTTAGCTGCATACAATTAGTAAGAATCCAACTACTAAAATGGCCAAGACCAAATAGCTGTCCAAAGACACTAGAGACAAAATGGTACACCTCCACAAAGCTGGAAAGGGCTACGGGTTAATTGCCAAGCAGCTTGGGGGGTGGGGTGGGGGGTCTACTGTTGGATCAATCATTAGAAAATGTAAGAAGTTAAACATGACTGTAAATCTCCCTCGGACTGGGGCTCCATGCAAGATCTCCCCTCGTGGAGTTTCAGTGATCCTAAGAAAAGTGAGAAATCATTCCAGAACTACATGGGAGGAGCTGGTCAATGACCTGAAAAGAACTAGGACCTCTGTTTCCAAGGTTACTGTTGGGAATACACTAAGATGTCATGGCTTGAAATCATGCAGGGCACGGAAGGCTCCGCTGCTTAAACCAGCACATCAAGGCCCTTCTTAAGTGTGCCAATGACCATTTGGATTGTCCAAAGGAGTCATGGGAGAAAGTCATGTGGACAGATGAGACCAAAAAAGAACCTTAATTCATAATTCCACTGACTGACTGTGTTTGGAGAAAACAAATGTTGAGTACCATCCTAAGAACACCATCCCTACTGTGAATCATGGGAGTGGTAGCATCATGCTATTTTTCTCCACATGGGACAGGGCGACTGCACCATATTAAGGAGAGGACGACCAGGGCCATGTATTGCGAGATTTTGGGGAAAAACCTCCTTCCCTCAGTTGGAGCATTGCAGATGGGTCAAGGCTGGGTCTTCCAACATGACAATGACCCGAAGCACACAGCCAGGATAACCAAGGAGTGGCTCTGTTAGAAGCATATCAAGGTTCTGGCGTGGCCTAGGCAGTCGCCAGACCTAAACCCAGTGGAAAATCTCTGGAGGGAGCTCAAACTCTTTGTTTCTCAGCAACAGCCCAGAAACCTGCCTGATCTAGAGAATATCTGTTTGGAGGAGTGGGCCAAAATCCCTCTTGCAGTGTGTGCAAACCTGGTGGAAAAACTACACAAAACATTTTACCTCTATAATTGCAATAAAGGCTACTGTACCAAATATTAACATTGATTTTCTCAGGGGTTCAAAATCAACATCAACAATTCCCATTTTCAGAACCTTAACAGTTATTTACCACAAGATGCAGCCATTAATTTGTGCTCTTTTTATAGAACAGTAAATAGGATGCAACCACAGTAGTTTTGTTTAAATTAGAAGATAGTAGCATGTATTGGAAAATCAAGTGGCACCAAGGGGAAGAAGTTGGGAAAATGCTGCAACTATTAGATGTTGACTATTATTAATGAGTGCGGGGCTTTAATATAATGTAAACATTGTTGTCCGTCATCAATACTTGATTACTTTTATTTTGGCCGCTAAAAGGGTAAGCTATGTCAAGCTGCTGTTGGATAACTGAAGAAGAGAGAGTCCTGTGCAAAAGAAGTAATTGTGTCATGTGGCTTCTGTGTCGAGCTAATATTAGTGGAGGCTGATATGATGGAGTAAAAACAGCTTGGCATCAGTTTGAAAGAAAATGAAATGCACATGGTGTTTTTAGAATGGACACTTGGACAAACTATGAATGAACCCATACTGTGAGTTTTAATCAAAATATTAAAGCTAAGACAAGTCTTTTAAAGGTTTAGAGATATTTTACAGATGTGCAGCCTTTGACCATAACATTTCACTGTAAGTGTAACTTATTTTCCCTTAGCTATTTCACTTTGAGGGTTTTAGCTTGTTTCTTTGGGTCTGCATGTGATTGAATAACCTGTGGCGTACTACAGAGGCTGGTTTTGGGACATTGTTTTGGTTTGTTTTTTAATGCATCGCCTATCTGTTAACATTCAACACGTTAATTATATTTCCTATCACTTTAATGCAGTTGAGATTCAGCTGTTTATCTCTTTAGAGCCTATTCAGCTGGACAGGCTGTTTACTATCTGTAGATAATCAGTGATTGGCTGTCTAGCAGTAATCTAATTTCAATTAACTAAGAAAATTATTATTATCTTGCTGCACTTCATTCTGAAACAGCCAAGCTCTTGTGTCATTATGTCCAACTCTGGAGTCCAGTATCCAAAATCTTGCAGATTTTCTTCTCTGAGCTTTGACTCCAGTGAACTTTGTCCTGTTTCTTTCATTTTAAGAACATTTTAAACATTTTCTTAAAAACTCCTACATACAGTATGGTCTCCTCAGTTAAATTGGGAAACATTCCAGCAAGCAAGATCAAATCACCTGTTTTAGATTTCTTAAACTGGCTACCAAATAGTTTAAGATTTAATTAAAAATTTGTATATATATCTCATGCATGTCTTCTAGTGGAACACTAGGTGGCGATATATAATTGTTCTGTTATGGTGTGTCAAATTGAATTAGTTTGTCATGAAGGACATCAGGAGTCAAGGCAAGGCAGAATGAATTTTCAGTAAATTAAGTAATTGGTTTAGTTTTTATGCATGTTGTTTATCCTCCTAAATGTTTTGATCTCCATTATGTTTTTATTATAGTTACATGTCCAGAATGTTTCCTTTGGTGTGGGTTAAACATGTAGGTCTGGGGAAGTGAACAGAATCGTGACTCAAACTGTTCTGTGTTTTCTGTGTACAGGTGGTGCAAGGCTGGGCAAGAAGCTACCAACAGCAACAGCCTCTTCTGACCAAAGATATGACTGCTTGATGACAGCAAACTCAGGAACAAGATGTTGAAGAGCAAAAGACTACCTTCAGATTCAAAGATTGGCCTTTCTTTTAATTCATCTATCATTATGCACTGTTTTGCTCCTGTTGCCATGTTCTCTGACTAAAATGGTGATATGAGAGCTAAAGAGATGAAGTACCTGTGACTTATTTATTTAAAATTATTTATTCAGACACATCATCTTTTTTTCTGTTGTATCTGTGGCACCAAAGTCCAGGAAAGTAGAAGATGAAGAAGTCTCTTGTGCATTTGGTGCTTTGTTTACATTCTTAATGCTGTTGTGGGCAGCTTGTGGCAAGCAGGCTTGTTCCTGTGGGTAGCAGTAGGCATCTGTACTGATCATAACTTGCTGCCTGCGTTCACTGTGGTGATGCTGTGAATGTTGTGTACTAGTTAACCACCCATGCTCCTGTATGCCATTTGCAGGAGTTGTTTGCAGTGCATTAGTGGCAACTTTGATGAAATGACTTCACAAGTATCATAGAAGTACAATGCCTGTGTATTGATCAGATAAAAACGAGCTACTAAGTGTTAAGCTGGTTTTATTTCAGTTTTGTTTTAAATCAAAGGTTTGAACATTGTCCTTTCATTTTGTTGCTTTGAATGCCTTGGAATGCACTTTTTTTTTCTTTCCTCTCTTTGCCAAATCCTGTGACTCCTTAGGAGTGATTCAGAAGCAAATAATACCAGCTTCCTCCCAGCTCTTAGATGAGTTGTGACTAGATCTGAAACTATGTCCTGTCTTTAAGGCATGGCACCAGAAAATTACCTTCTAAAATGAATAATCTCAGATGAATTCCATACATGTTTCCAGCACTCAGGAAACCTAAACCAGATATATTTTTTGCCTTTGCATTAGTTGAATGTAACTGAACTGTGGGCATGTCCATGTTTATGCTAAGCTTCAAAGTTCTTGGTCTTTACATTTTTTTGTTTTCTATGCTTGGTAGGTTTCCATTTTATAACTAAGGAATCTTATTTTATTAGGACTGTCTTTTTCATTTATTTCTCATTTAAGGCATCCTAATTAATGCTGTAAATCTTTTCCTCTTTGAACGTTGCACAGGTCCATCTCAGTAGAATATTATGGAATATTTTGGCATTTCTGTTAAAGTGAAACCGATATAGCTTGGTAGATTTAATTTCCACTCGTGGCCCATAACAGTTTTTAGTTAAATAGTCAGGCATCCATCTTGCTTTTGCTCAGATGTAAATTTCGTTACATAGCATGGAATAATGAGTTACTGGTTTAAATGCCATAACAGTATTTAAGTTAAAGAAACTGGCTTTCAAAACCACATGCAGTTAGAGCACTTATGTCCCTGGCCCAAGGAAATGCACCAGGTAGGGTAGCATATTTAATCAGTTAAGAGCTACATTTTTTTTTGCAGTACCTTTAGACTTAAATTTAAGGCTTTAAGGATTGCTGCCAAAGAAACTGGTCACTAATTTTGTCATAAAGATCAAATGGAAGGAGTACCTGTTAGTTTTTAATAACCGCAAGCCATATGGAGGTTGAATGCTAACAGTACAATCTTTCAGGATTATCTGATGGTCCAAATCAGTGTGATACACCTGTACATATGTTTAAGAGTGTTTTAAATAAAGTTATAAAACTGTTCCTTTAAACAGAACTCATTAGGGGGGAATGCATACAATAAACAAGACAAAATGACAAAGAAAGTTCATTTTATTGTCCATTTTTGATACAAATTGTAGGGCACCATAGAAATATAGACATTGTACATTTATATAGGTGTACATTAAAAAGAATGATCCCATCCTATTGAGTTTACAGTATATAAATCAAATGCATGATTAACGAGAAATGACTAGATAGTCGTATTTGGAAGGGAACAAACAGACATGAAGAGACTGTACGACTTGAATGAACATGGTAAGAGCGGCTGTTTGCATTAATGCAGAATGCAGCGCCTGACTGAACAGTGAAGAATGTCTAGTCTACGCAAACTTGCATTTGTCCATGAAAAACCCACATTTCAGTGCAGAAGTTAAAAAAAAACAAAAAACACACCGGCTAGTCTACCACAGTCAGCGAACACAATCGTTGAGCCGACAGGTCTCCCTGACTTGCTTCACACATGAACCTGTCTGCAAAGTCTGGCGCACAGCTTCACTTTAGACCTAGTCAACTTGTACATACAAAGAAACCTTTTCAGCTCATGTCAGAGTTTACATTTAAAATAGAGAATAAACCTGTGAAATTCAATCATAAGGTGAAGTAAGCTGTTAAACTGAGGTATGAGTCCAGGCTTTGTATAGCCTGTTTGCAGTTTTCCGGGGTTCTGTAACTGAGGTTGTAGCAGCTTAGGTGTGTGAGGAAAAACAAACCAAGAAAAAAAAAAAAAACCAGTTAAGTGTAATATGGATAAAGGTTCCCTGACAATGATGAAAAAAGTTGTAGTAGACAATGTTCAACACACATCTTCAGAAGATTAAGGAAGTAAGTTACGGTTAAGTTTACTAAGTGAAGACAAAGCTAGGTTTAGCAGTGACGGCTGAATGGAATGGAAAAATAAATGTACAGCCCTGTTGGATAGTAGTGCCACCAACTATCCACTATTACAATCATATTCCTTTGTTTGACCAATTGCAGTGACCGAGTGAGCGCTTGAGGGAAAGGGGTGGGGCCGGGGTGAAGTCTAACCGCATTTGTAGAAGCTCCCTGAAGAAACGACAGATTACTTTTCAGCCTAAAACTCTGCCTAAAAATATATCCCCCCTCCAAAAAAAAAAAAACTGTTTAAAAACACAAAAGCAGCACACTCATGGTTTCTTTGAAATGATATGCAACCCAGAGGAACAAACTGCAAGTCTGATCAGAATATTCTAATGAAAGAAAAAACACCAACAAGCTTACTTTACATCTCCCCACTACATGCAAAAAGGACAATGTTTTTTAGAAGCGTCTCTAAAATCTACACTGCTCTACAGGAGAAGCGGTGAGGCTGAAGATGTCCAATCCCATCCAGAGATTTTAGAGAACCAACTGGAAAAGAGAGACACCTATACCATCAGTAACCTATGCTCATCCTAAATGCTGCAGCTCATCTCCATCTAGAATACAATGCAAAGGGTAGGTTAATCACTTCACTCACATATAGGAAACAAAACTAACAGCAAATGGGTAAAAACTACCTTTGTCCAGTACAAAACAAGAAAGTCTATATGTTCTACTTTTGCAGATGCAAGAAATGACACTAAGAAGAGGAGAAATGTCCTAACGGTCTTTAGGGGAGACTAAAACACCCAAGCTCCTCAGAGCACACCTTGTCCAGTATAAAAGACTTGTGATAACATGACATGTAGAAGAAGGGCTGTTACATGCCATGTAATACTTAGATCTATGCTTGATCAAGTCCATTTTGTTTCAATCCAGTGCTGCTGCATGATATATGAACTGTGTTTTAACCCCATCCTTTGGCAAAGGGGAGGACTTTGTCATGATCAGTGGTCATATGGTGGCACTGGTGTTGATACAGCCCAGTTTCTGGATAACAGTAAGTCAGTATGTCGAGTGAGGTAGCATGTGTTGAGTTACTGGTCATCTTCCTCCTCTTCTTCCTCAGATGATTCTTGGGATGCCTTTTCCTCCTTCTCCTGTGTTAGGAAGAAAAAAAAAACTTTATCTGGGCTCAACAAAAATGTGTTTCATGTTTCTACCTGACCTTTTTTTTGCCTTTAATAAATCCAAGTCTCAAATTACTTAAAACCAAAAGTAAAAAGAAAAAAAGATTAAACTCTTTAAGAGGGATTAAACAAGTCACTGTGGCATGAAAACACACCCAGGGGAAGGGTGAAGGCATGCATAGTGAAAAGTGATTCATAACTAGTGAGTCACAATGAACTGCATTTTTTGTACTCTACTCACTCCAAGATGTTCATTCATAAAAACAAAAACACCTAACATGGGTGGGCTAGTTGAGAGGAGGGGGGGGATCAATTATGGGCCATTCCCTACTGTGACTAATGCGATCCAGGCCCCTCCTGAGTACACCCATACCACTACACACATCACACAATGTTACAATTAAACCCCTTTCTTGCCTTAGGCCACTGATCTTGTAAATATAGCAATATCCAAGCACAATCAGGTAGATGCATGTAGAAAAAACAAAATGTCCTCTGAATGGGCCAACCTTCAAAAGCAGGTAAAAGGTATCAGACAATGCAATGCTTGGCATACTATTCATAAGCGAGAAACAGCTTTCAAAGTGCAATTCTTTAAGGATAGTGGACGGTCGTCCTTTAGTTTTGAGTTTAGAACCAAACCCGTTTTAATGTTTATTTTCTTTTTAAGCATCTTGTAGGCGTCTGTCAAGTTCTGATAGTTTTAAGAGTCCCATCATGTGAAACAGCTTCAACAGTTTTTCCAAGTCCATTATGGAAGCAAACATTTTTTTTGCTTCCCCCATTAACATTACACACAAAAAAAATGTTTTAGATTAGTCAGAATTAAACAAAATAAAGACACCTTTTCTAACAACTAAAAAAAACTAACAATGGAAGCAAACGTGAGAGCGTAATGCATTCACAATGCACAATTTTTAAGGCACGGCTGCTAAATAGGCTAATGAATTGGCAAATGCATGCATGAGCAAGCCACAGCCAATACAAACACTCTCCTATATTCAACTGAAATATTTCTCAAGGGAAAAAAAATCCTAAAGTTTTCTACTTTAGTTTGAGGTGCCAAGTCAACTTCATCAATTTGCATCTACCATTGTATGTCCATTTTATAAACCTATACTTAAAACAGTTTATTTCATTAATTTAATACATTATGGATATGCATACAAATTTAATTTATATTTCTCATTACAAAATAGACCTCTTAAAATCTTTTTTAAATATATTTTACTCTACATTCGACAAGTCCTTGGCTCTTGTGCAGTGAGGGCATGCAGTTTCACACAGCAAGCCTAAGCAACTTCTTTCTACGTTATATTTCAGAGATCAAATTAGTCATCTCTTCACCAAAAACTGCAAATGAGCAAATCCAGCTTCAATAGCCATTTTTTGGTCTAAAATATACAGCAAATAATTAAAGAGCGCCCATTTAGGTCTTGCATGGAGGACATACATTTTTAGACAGCAATGAATTTCACAAGATTGGGCCAACTGAATGAGTTTAACGGGTCAAGCGCACACTTTCATGATGTTTAAAAACAAAACCCAACTTATTTTTAAAAAGCTATATTTAACAGACACTTTAATTTAAAAGTATTTCTAAATATAATAGCCTTTTAAAATATTTAGAGTCCACATAAGGTATTTTGTGGGGAGATGAGTACCACTCCTAACAAATCTCACCTCCTTCTTGGGTCTCCCTCTGCGTTTTCCTCCTGCAGATGGGGCTCCAGCTGCCTTCTGCAAAAGAAAACGTCACAAGGTCACTAAGGCTGTTAGAAGGTTCTCATCATAACGTTCTGAACTGGAGCCAGTTGGAGGCTGGACTACATTTCAAGTACAGTTTCAACTTTATTTTCCACAGATAGCCTCTAGGTGGCAGTCGTACCACTACGCCTTTACAGATAGAATAGGGGGCATTGGGTTCATTGGCTATTATCTGGAAGGCCAACGGGAACTGCACACAGGGCACTCCAGTTCGCTGGCCACCTGGTCCAAGGCTCAGAGACAGCTGGTGAAACCGAACAGAGACAAACCCTCCGTTGCTTCAAACCTATATCAGTGAGCATGTATGTGTGTGCCTGCTGAACTCCCTCCATTTCTCCCTCTTCCATAGATAGCAGCGAGCAAAAGCACACGGGGGAGCTGGAAGGGTTGGGGCGAAGGAAGAGGGAGGAAAAAAAAAATGTTGCTATGGAGACGACGGGCAGAGAAGAACTAGGGCCGTGTGCCTGCTGGAGGCGGAGGGGGGTGCTCAGTGTCAGCCTGGAAACAGTCTTGCGGCCGCTGCACCTGCACAGCACAGTGCATTTGACAAGCTGCAGGAAGCTGGAGGACAGGATGCACCGAGCGAGCATCATCATCGTCACCACCACCCCCGCCCTCTCCTCCCCCCCACCTACCCACTCAAAGGCAGGGCAGCAAACCGAGATTTTTTACAGTGGGAAGCAATCACCAAGCTATTTCTGACAACACTAGGCTGAAACCAAAAAATATATATAATAAAATTGACAGCCTGACATCCTTCAGATGGATGAGGTTAGCTGCTGCCACAACCTTTCCTTAACAAAAAACGGATCTGGGGTTTCAGACAGGAAGGGTTTCTTCTAGAGAAAATAGTACATCAACTGCCATGTGCAACATATTGATGAGGTTGGATCCGTCTCTTTGCAAGCTTTCAGTTGCAACAGATTTAGGAGACTTACTTTGCCCTTGCCAGTTGTCTTATTTTTGCTGCCCTTTGGTCGTCCTCTTGGTCTCTTTGGAGTTGGGGACCCACTAGCCTCCTAAACAAAAAGCATAGAGGTCCAAGTTTATACAAAATTGAAAACCTTATTTTACTTAGCCATGACAAATAATTACCAACTGTGGCTTTAACAACAATAAAGCATTTATTTTCTCTTAATCTGAAAAAAAAAGACGTTAATCATCTCAATGGGCATTTAAGGGAAATACCATAGCTTCTAGAGTTAGGTGAATTTAAGATGTCATGAGTCATCCCTTTCATGAGTACCTTGTGGTTAGAGACCGTGTCATGGCTGACTCGTCTCCTGTTGCATATCTGGAGTGTTTGTAACAACGGTTCTTAGCAACAGAGGAACTCTATAGTAAAACAGCAGGATGAGCAACCTCTACATGATTCACTCTGTGCTCCCCTCAGCCTCTGCCATGTCATGCATCACAGTGAGGGAGCGGGGGTGGGCCTGGAGCATGCAGTAGCAGGGGGGGTTAAAACCAGTTTAAAGGTGTCAGGTTACTGGTTGCTTGAAAATCAGGAAGTTTATTGTAAACCTCAGCACTGATAAGCAACTTAATGCCAACCTGGTGCTGGCCTGTCTAAATTAAAATTCTTGCCTCAGGTGAATGCAAACATGAAGAACCTTACAGTAGGATCTGCAGGAGCATCATCTGCAACAGATTCAAACTGGGGGGTTTATTTTAGTTAACTGCACATAAGGCGTGGGAAGTTATTTGCGGGTCTTAATTACATAAGCCTCGTTCTGGTGTGTAAGTTGCAAGTAGTAGAACATGCAAAGCAGACAAGAGTAGGAAGAAGTAAATGCACACTACTTACGTCTGAGGATTTTACCTGGGGCTGCTTGCGCGGTCTTCCACGCCCTCTCTTCTCTGTCGCCTCCTTGTCTTTTGATGAGACCGTCCCCTTGTCGCTCATATTTGCTGAGCTATTCAACCTATGCAACACAAAAGAAAAATATACAAGTCACACACATAAATATAGAGGCGTCGAATATGTAAACAAATGCGTATAGAAACGAGTAATGGAGCTACTAAACTCACTGACCGCAACAACAAACCCAAATGACCGACCTAACCGCGCACCGTTTAACTCAATTAATCCGCGCTTATTTCTAGATCTATTTTTGTCTCTTGCAGCACAGGAGGTTTACAGCAAAACAGATTTTACGACACTGCAGGGATACACATCTAAAAAAAAAATACGACTATACGTCCTAGTATTTAAATCATGCTTAGAGGGAGATTTTGCTGCTGTAGCCCCGCGATTAGGCCTGTGCACACAGAACTATCTCCCAGCAGGTCTACACGCCGCGGAGAGATCCACCAACACACACACAGACACACACACAATGGCTGCTGTGTGCTCGTTTGCATTTGCAAGCTAGAAGACCCGGCTCAATGCTCGCTCGGCTTTTTCTAAAATGGCACTGAGGGTCCAAGCGGAGGGAGGCGGTCGTCCTGAGACTAAAATCTCGGGGCCGAAAAGCAACAAAAGGCGGCTTCACGTTGCAGCCTCATACCCGCTCTCAGTGCTCTTTAAAAAAAAAAAAAAGAAAATGTGTATAAAACTGCACCGCAATAATCGCTTCTAGCTTAGCGCCTCGCCTTTATGCACTCACCCTTTCCCTTTACGGATTTATCGCCTCCGTCCTAAAATTAAAATTGATTCCTTTAAGCCCTCGCAGGTTTTTCATGCAGTTAGCCGGTTAAAAAAGCCGATCCTACAGCTTTTATTCGTCACATAACACACAGCCCGCCCATTTAAAACCCCAGCTCGTGCAAATTTAAAAACAACAAATTAAAATGAAATAAATGCATCGTTAAAAATAAATAAAAAATATCTCTCTCTCTAAATATATATTTAATTAAATATATTTGTTACCAGCAGGATGAGAACTTTAATCCAACGGCGTTCGCTTCGACGCACGTGCGACTTGTCTCGTGCAGATAAAGGAAAAAAGGCGCCGGACTGGAAGAGTTTTTGGACAATTTAAAGAGCCGCCCTCAGGGGAGCTGAAACACTGGAGGGCGGAGATATGATAAATGGGGCCACCAACAGCATGAGAAGGGCCCAACCCCCCTCCCACTTTACTGCTCATTGATTCTTTACATTTTCTAGGTTTAATCACAAAACACTGAACAGATGTGGCGAGGTTGCTGAAATAAACAAATAAATAAAGATATGGAGCCGAAAACACAGCAGAGTAAAAATAGAATTTCCAAAGTGAGATTTATATAACATTGCATGTATTTCTTTAAGATCATTTTCCACAGGCTACAACTGTGACTAAGGCAACCCCCAATGTAAACAATCTGAGTCATCTTGAGAATGGTCTGCTTCTCTGCTCAGGTGAGCTCAAACTTGTTCCATGTTTATTTCACCCCATTACCAGTTACTACACCATTTCGTACATATATTTTGCCAGATTATTTCTTCCTGTTTTTACCTGCCTCACCACTTGGCTATTTTGTAAACAGATATCCACATATTGGCAATTTATTTCTTCCCTATTCCATTTTATTCCATTTAGCATCTCTAAAAATATAAAAAAAAAATTTTTTGCCCAGGTTCCTTCATTGTCCTTTTGCAATTTTTACCAGGCTTATCAATGTATATAGTGCTATCCTTGTTGGTTGATTTCTTGAGCTATGGAAAAAGTTACATATGCATGGACCTGAAAACAGCTGCTTCTTTGCTCTTGGTGACCTTGCAAGCAAGATGAAATGTCATGAGATTTGTGAATGCACAAACTATATATATATATATATATATATATATAT